GATTGCACTTTAATATGGTATATAATTTGTAGCATAATGTGTGTTTTTACTAATTGGTGAATTTGATAGATCGGTAGAATTATTGTTCTATGTTTAATAAGCGCGGTAATCTGAGGTTCCGATATGGCTGCAATTAACTTTGGCAGTTTTCGTGCTAGGACAGTTGTTTATGCACCATTTTAAAGCATTAAAATTGCCATTTGTTTTGGTATATAATTTATAGCATAATGTATTTTTAGAAAACGGCCAATTGGATAAATCGGTAGAATTATTTTCCCAGGTTTAAAAACGCGGTAATTTGAGGTCCCGATATGGTTGTGAATAACTTTGACAGTTTTCATGCAATGACAGTCATTTATGCATCATATTAAAGCATTACAGTTGCACTTTATTTTGGTGTATAATTTGTGGCATAATGAATTTTTACAAAAATTGGATAGATCGGTATATTTATTGGTACAGGTTCAAAAATGCGGTAATTTAAGGCTCCGATATGGTTGCAAATAACTTTTATAGTTTTCATGTTATAACAGTCGTTTATATATCTTTTTATTGCATTATAGTTGCCATTTGCTTTGGTATATAATTTATTCCATAATATATTTTTGGAAAATGGCCAATTGGATAGATCGGTAGAATTATTTTCACAGCTTTAAAAACGCGGTAGTTTGAGGTTCCGATATGGCTGCAAATAACATTGACAGTTTTCACGCTATGACAGCCATTTATGCATCATTTTAAAGCATTATGATTGCACTTTAATATGGTATATCATTTGTAGCATAATGTATATTTTTACAAATTGGTCAATTTGATAGATCGGTAGAATTATTGTTCTATGTTTAATAAAAGCAGTAATCTGAGGTTCCGATATGGTTGCAATTAACTTTGGCAGTTTTCATGCTAGGGCAATAGTTTATGCATCATTTTAAAGCATTACAGTTGCACTTTATTTTGGTGTGTATATTGTGCATAATGAATTTTACAAAAGTTGGATAGTGTTTATGCCAAACAACAATTGTCCATTTATCATAATCTCCCCCGCAAATCCTATTTCTTATGACATATATCCGATTACTGAATGCTATGAATTGCAGCATATGTAAAGTTGTCATAAAGTTCTAAATAAAACGTCAATTATTTCAAATATGTCGTAAAATCTTATTTCCGCCAGAAAGAAACTTTCTTTTGTGCAAATTCGTCCACTTTCCTATCCTTGGTAAGAATTCCTTAAATAATTTAATAAATATCCAAGAAGAGAAAACATAATTCCTGTGTTTATTTTCTTTATTTTTTTTTCATTCCTTGCTATTAAATTATTCTGAGTTACAAAATATATTCATATATTTTGTTTGGCTCAGAGAGAATAATAAAGTTTTCCAATCATCCAGCCTTTCATCCCCATCCAAAGCTTTGAGCGAAACAGATAGATCGGTATATTTATTGGTACAGGTTTAAAAATGCGGTAATTCAAGGCTCCGATATGGTTGCAAATAACTTTTATAGTTTTCATGTTATAACAGTCGTTTATATATCTTTTTATTGCATTATAGTTGCCATTTGTTTTGGTATATAATTTATTGCATAATATATTTTTAGAAAATTGCCAATTGGATAGATCGGTAGAATTATTTTCACAGCTTTAAAAAGGCGGTAATTTGAGGTTCCGATATGGTTGCAAATAACATTGACAGTTTTCATGCTATGACAGTCATTTATGCATCATTTTAAAGCATTATGATTGCACTTTAATATGGTATATAATTTGTAGCATAATGTGTGTTTTTACAAATTGGTCAATTTGATAGATCGGTAGAATTATTGTTCTATGTTTAATAAAAGCAGTAATCTGAGGTTCCGATATGGTTGCAATTAACTTTGGCAGTTTTCGTGCTAGGACAGTCGTTTATGCACCATTTTAAAGCATTAAAATTGCCATTTGTTTTGGTATATAATTTATTGCATAATGTATTTTAAGAAAATGGCCAATTGGATAGATCGGTAGAATTATTTTCCCAGGTTTAAAAAGGCGGTAATTTGAGGTTCCGATATGGTTGTGAATAACTTTGACAGTTTTCATGCTATGACAGTAATTTATGCATAAGTTTAGAGCATTATGATTGCATTTAATTTGGTATATCATTTGTGCACAATGTGTTCGTCTAAAAAATGGTCAATTTGATGGATCGGTAGAATTATTGTTCTATGTTTAAAAACGCGGTAATTTGAGGTTCCGATATGGTTGCAAATAACTTTGACAGTTTTCATGCTAGGGCAATAGTTTATGCATCATTTTAAAGCATTACAGTTGCACTTTATTTTGGTGTATAATTTGTGGCATAATGAATTTTTACAAAAGTTGGATAGATCGGTATATTTATTGGTACAGGTTTAAAAATGCGGTAATTCAAGGCTCCGATATGGTTGCAAATAACTTTTATAGTTTTCATGTTATAACAGTCGTTTATATATCTTTTTATTGCATTATAGTTGCCATTTGTTTTGGTATATAATTTATTGCATAATATATTTTTAGAAAATTGCCAATTGGATAGATCGGTAGAATTATTTTCACAGCTTTAAAAAGGCGGTAATTTGAGGTTCCGATATGGTTGCAAATAACATTGACAGTTTTCATGCCATGACAATCATTTATGCTTCATTTTAAAGCATTATGATTGCACTTTAATATGGTATATAATTTGTAGCATAATGTGTGTTTTTACTAATTGGTGAATTTGATAGATCGGTAGAATTATTGTTCTATGTTTAATAAACGCGGTAATCTGAGGTTACGATATGCCTGCAATTAACTTTGGCAGTTTTCGTGCTAGGACAGTCGTTTATGCACCATTTTAAAGCATTAAAATTGCCATTTGGTTTGGTATATAATTTATTGCATAATGTATTTTTAGAAAACGGCCAATTGGATAAATCGGTAGAATTATTTTCCCAGGTTTAAAAACGCGGTAATTTGAGGTTCCGACATGGTTGTGAATAACTTTGACAGTTTTCATGCTATGACAGTCATTTATGCATCATTTTAAAGCATTACAGTTTCACTTTGTTTTTGTGTATAATTTGTGGCATAATGAATTTTTACAAAAAGTGGATAGATCAGTATATTTATTGGTACAGGTTTAAAAATGCGGTAATTTAAGGCCCCGATATGGTTGCAAATAACTTTTATAGTTTTCATGTTATAACAGTCGTTTATACATCTTTTTATTGCATTTTAGTTGCCATTTGGTTTGGTATATAATTTATTGCATAATGTATTTTTAGAAGATGGCCAATTGGATAGATCGATAGAATTATTTTCCCAGGTTTAAAAAGGCGGTTATTTGAGGTTCCGATATGGTTGTGAATTACTTTGACAGTTTTCATGCTATGACAGTCATTTATGCATCAGTTTAGAGCACTATGATTGCACTTTAATTTGGTATATCATTTGTGGCATAATGTGTTCGTCTAAAAAATGGTCAATTTGATGGATCGGTAGAATTATTGTTCTATGTTTAAAAACGCGGTAATTTGAGGTTCCGATATGGTTGCAAATAACTTTGACAGTTTTCATGCTAGGGCATTAGTTTACGCATCATTTTAAAGCATTACAGTTGCACTTTATTTTGGTGTATAATTTGTGGCATAATGAATTTTTACAAAAATTGGATAGATCGGTATATTTATTGGTACAGGTTCAAAAATGCGGTAATTTAAGGCTCCGATATGGTTGCAAATAACTTTTATAGTTTTCATGTTATAACAGTCGTTTATATATCTTTTTATTGCATTATAGTTGCCATTTGCTTTGGTATATAATTTATTCCATAATATATTTTTGGAAAATGGCCAATTGGATAGATCGGTAGAATTATTTTCACAGCTTTAAAAACGCGGTAGTTTGAGGTTCCGATATGGCTGCAAATAACATTGACAGTTTTCACGCTATGACAGTCATTTATGCATCATTTTGAAGCATTATGATTGCGCTTTAATATGGTATATCATTTGTAGCATAATGTATATTTTTACAAATTGGTCAATTTGATAGATCGGTAGAATTATTGTTCTATGTTTAATAAAAGCAGTAATCTGAGGTTCCGATATGGTTGCAATTAACTTTGGCAGTTTTCGTGCTAGGACAGTCGTTTATGCACCATTTTAAAGCATTAAAATTGCCATTTGTTTTGGTATATAATTTATTGCATAATGTATTTTTAGAAGATGGCCAATTGGATTGATCGGTAGAATTATTTTCCCAGGTTTAAAAAGGCGGTAATTTGAGGTTCCGATATGGTTGTGAATAACTTTGACAGTTTTCATGCTATGACAGTCATTTATGCATCATTTTAAAGCATTATGATTGCACTTAGTTTGGTATATCATTTGTGGCATAATGTGTTCGTCTAAAAAATGGTCAATTTGAAGGATCGGTAGAATTATTGTTCTATGTTTAAAAACGCGGTAATTTGAGGTTCCGATATGGTTGCAAATATCTTTGACAGTTTTCATGCTAGGGCAATAGTTTATGCATCATTTTAAAGCATTACAGTTGCACTTTATTTTGGTGTATAATTTGTGGCATAATGAATTTTTACAAAAGTTGGATAGTGTTTATGCCAAACAACAATTGTCCATTTATTCATAATCTCCCCGCAAATTCCTATTTCTTATGACATATATCGATACTGAATGCTATGAATTGCAGCATATGTAAAGTTGTCATAAAGTTCTAAATAAAACGTCAATTATTTCAAATATGTCGTAAAATCTTATTTCCGCCAGAAAGAGACTTTCTTTTGTGCAAATTGGTCCACTTTCCTATCCTTGGTAAGAATTCCTTATTCCTTAAATAATTTAATAAATATCCAAAGAAAAGAAATCCTAATTCCTGTGTTTTATTTTCTTTCTTTTTTTTCATTCCTTGCTTATTAAATTATTCTGAGTTACAAAATATATTCATATATTTTGTTTTGGCTCAGAGAGAATAATAAAGTTTTCCAATCATCCAGCCTTTCATCCCCATCCAAAGCTTTGAGCGAAACATTTTGGTCCAGTTCGAACCGGATAAATTGGAAGATATAATTCTCTCGGAGATTACAACTCATTGTGCCTAATTCTACCAACAAAGGATTACTTCCAACAGTCAACAATTCCACAGGTTCGTTTGTTTTATTTATTTTTGCTTTATTTAGTTTATCCATATACAAAGTGCATAGTGTTTGTGTTGACTGCATTTATAAAAAAAAAAAATTTAACTACATACATATCTACAAAGAAAAATAAAATATACAAATTAATAATTGAAAATTCCGACGGCATTTTATCCGTCGGCAACTTAATAAAAAAAAAAAGAGAAAATAGAGAGTGAAGAAGTTTTTTTTTAAATATGCGTGTGTGCACCGAATTTAATATCCCCTACTTCTATTGGTCGTCCAAGAGTTGGAGTTAAAAGCGTGAGTTTTCCTAAAAATATCATTAAAATAGCTTTTTTTGTCCACAAATTACTAACTTCGCCGGTATTTATTTTCTTTGATCCACCGTTTCTTTAAAATATAAGCATAAAAATTAACGTTTTATAATAAAAAAATAAATATATTAACCGGTGTTTATTTCTATTGATCCAACGTAGGGCATTTTGTTCTTTTGCTGTGAATATTTTCTCCATATTTCCATATTAATTCCAAGTTAAATTCTCTTCACATTATTCCCTATTCAATTTCATAACTCTTTATTTTTTTTTTCGTTCATATATTATTAAATTTAAATAATACTTGTTCCCTTCAATTTGCTCTTTACCTTTTGCTTTGCTTATTTCCAAACAATATTAATTGTCCACAATAATATTATTAGCGAGCCCTTTAAATTACATACGTTTGTACGTTTGTTTACTTCATCTACAAGCAGTACATTAGTTCATGCGTGTGTATATCCATTTACAAGTATTACCATAAACATACGTGTTTGTGCGTGTGTACATCTACTTGCTTGTTTTCCTTTCTGCTTTATTCGTCATACGTTGACTGATCATAATTAACCCTTGTGTGGTCAGTGGGGGCATACATTTTTTATATTATTTTTTTTCCGAATATTTTAATGCATTTTGATCTAACCATTTATGATTGGCAATTAATAATACAATTAGTAAATATATTTCTCTTTTTTTGGTGTTGGTAATAAATAATATTGAAGCAAATTGCGATAAACTTTGTCCATATTTCTGAAGATTAGTAAAATAATTATATACGCTAAATAAATCCAGTTTACTAAATACACATTTTACTGCACGTTTTGTCCAATAGACTACTTTTAATTACGAATATTCTAATTCTAAAAAGGAAAAATTTACTAATTGTCTTTTTGTTCGTGCGACCGAGGGTTAATTTACATATTGGTAAACAACTTTATGGAATAAATTGTTGCTATTTTTTCTACAAGGATTGTAAATAAATAAAATAAAAGAATTTCTCCAAAAACAAATATCGTTGAATAGGTTGACGAACTTTCTTATATACTTATTTTACTTATTTTTTGAAGCAGCTGATCCTATAGTCCAGTAACGTAAAGGTATCAATTCTTCGAAAAATATACTTTATCCAAATTACTGGTTTTCTTTCTGGTTTGATTTACACGTTTATTCCGATCGGTTTTTTACAATTTTTTTGTGGTTTTAGTCTCGATTTGAGTTCAATTCCAACATTTTTTAGATAATTTCATTCCGAATTTCGATTTGAATTGTTGCTAGTGCTTTTTCCTTTTGTCCTTTTGGTATATTAAATATGTCTCTTGATCACTTTATCCGCTTGGCCGATAGTATAGTCGAATTTGAGGCCGATTATAATGAGAATCGTTATCCAATCAATTCTCTTCATGCGTTAGAAATCCACAGGCAGGAAATAAAGTCCACATGGGTACGTCTTAAGGCGGCTTATGAAAAATTTTTGTTCGATAAGGACAACGAAGATGATACGGATCCCGGGGAATCGGATGATATAGAAGCATTTAAAGACAAATACAAAAGTACTTATGTTACTTATTGTAATATATTGATAAAACTATCCGAGCTGACCGATGCTCTTCGGGATCAGTCGCGTGAGAAATCTGACACAAGTCCGATCAATTCCCAGTTTTTCCCAGTCCAGCCTGTATCTTCCCAGCCTTCGCATAGCTTTCACCTTCCTCCGTGTGAGATAGAGACCTTCCATGGTAATTATGAATCATGGCCGACTTTCCGTGATCTATTCACAGCCATGTTCATACAGAATTCCACATTAAGCCCTGTTGAGAAGCTTTTCCATTTGACTCAGAAGACTAAAGGAGAAGCAAGGGAGATTGTTAAGAAGAGTCCTTTAACAAATCAGGGTTTTGATTTAGCCTGGGCAAATCTGACAGAACGATTTGAGAATCGTCGGGTCCAAGTTAACGGACAACTTCGAATCCTATTTAATCTCCCTAGCATAACTTCTGAATCGGCAAAAGCTATTCAACATTTGCAAAGGGACATAAACTCTTGTATTTCCATATTACGACTCCATCGCATAGACGTTGACAGCTGGGACCCTATTTTTGTTTTCTTGTGTTCCAATAAGCTTCCTGATTCAACTTTGACTCTATGGGAACAAGGCTTAAAGGATAAAACGTCGATTCCAAAATGGTCCGATTTAGATTTATTCCTGACCAATCGATACAGGACTTTGAAATCCGTATCCGAAATACGTTCCGCTACATCCAAGCCTACCGAGTCCAAACCTAAAAAGGTGAATCGTCCATCCAAAGTTGTTAATGCTTTTCAAAATAACGTGTCCCAGCCTAAATGTCAACTATGTACCAATGAGTTTCATCCAATACGAAAATGTCCGAAGTTTTTGCAAATGGGCCATTCTCAGCGCCTCAGTGAGATTAAAAAACTTAGCTTATGTCTCAATTGCTTTTCCAAAACGCATTCCGTTAAAAACTGCAACAGCAAAATCAATTGCTTCCGTTGCCATAAAAGGCACAATACCTTACTCCACAAAGAAACCGAAGTTTCCACTTCATTACCGGGCCCTAGTACAAGCGCCAATTCCAACCTTAATCCAAATTCAGCACCATTTGTAACTAGTTCGAATTCAATTACTATACAGTCCGCTCCTACTTCGGATGCTGAAGTTGTTACATCTTGTTTTACAGTAAATTCCACTGGCGTTTTACTAGGCACTGCAATGATTGAAATTTGTTACTTGGATAATAGATACCCTGCTCGAGCGTTAATAGACTCAGGTTCCGAAGGTTCTTTTATTTCGGAAAGGTTGTTTAATCTACTGAAACTTCCTTCAACTCGCACTAATGCTCAAGTTTCTGGACTAAATAACACAATATCCGCTAGTGTTGATAAACAATGTTCATTCGTGATTAGTTCCATTCTCAATCCAGATATAAAGCTGCTCGTTACAGCTTTAGTAGTTCCACAACTTTCTGGTAGTCTTCCTTCCAAGACTTTTGATCGCTCACTCTTTTCCAAACTTCCTCCAATCCAGTTAGCTGATCCACATTTCCATACAAGTTCGAAAGTGGATATTCTCATTGGTGGTGATGTATTCCCTTCGATTATGCGATCTGGTGTAAAGCATAATGTTTGCGGTTCACTAATGGCGCAAGAAACTATCTTTGGGTGGATTCTAACTGGTCCTTTGTCCAATATCTCTTCTCCCAGTTGTTCCTTAGTTTCCTATTTCTGTGAAATCTCTTTAGACAAAGAGATTTCACGTTTTTGGGAGGTGGAGAATCTTCCAAGGAAGAACTTTACTTCATCATCTGATAAATTTTGTGACGATCTTTTTACAAAAACTACCAGAAGAGCTAAAGATGGTCGGTATATTGTTTCTCTTCCATTTAAGGATGGCTATCCTGAGAAACTTAGTTTAGACCAATCTCGAAATAGTGCTATGGCACAATTTCTACGAAATGAGGTTCGGCTACTTCGTTCACCTGACTTGAAATCCATTTATGACAACGTGGTTGAAGAATATATTGATTTGGATCATATGTTCAAAGTTTCACCGCCACACAATTCCAAAATTTGTCCATATTACCTACCACATCACGCTGTCATAAAACCTGAAAGCACTACAACAAAGGTACGCGTTGTTTTTAATGCGTCATCTCCATCTTCTAATGGGTTAAGCCTAAATGATATCCTTCATACTGGTCCAATTTTACAAAATGACTTGACCTTACTGATCCTGAAATGGAGATTTTTCAAGTATGTCTTCAATGCTGATATCCAAAAGATGTATCGGCAAATCCTAGTCGATCCGAAGCATACTGTATTCCAAAGAATCCTATTCCGCAATAATCCAAACGTAATTATCCAAGACTACGAATTAAAAACAGTGACATTCGGCGTAAATTGCGCGCCTTACCTCGCTATTCGGACTCTACTCCAATTAGCCGATGACATCGAGGCTTCTTATCCAAAAGCTAGCCTTATTCTGCGTAGAATCTAAAAGCAGTTAATACTTGCACTTCAATCGGCTGGATTTTCCCTGAGGAAATGGACGGCGAATTCCAAAGAAATCATTGACGATATTCCCGTTAACCATCTGCTCTGCGAAGATTTCCTAACCTTTGACGACAACAGCACAGCGAAGACTCTAGGAGTTCGATGGAATGCCCGTTCAGACTCGTTTTTCTTCGTAGCGAAACCATTTCCCGATCAACGTCAACTTACAAAGAGAGAAGTATTATCGCAGATTGCAAGATTATTCGATCCGGCCGGGTGGCTTTCTCCAGTTGTGATTCTAGCAAAAATCCTGATGCAGACGATTTGGATAGAAGGTACCAAATGGGATGAGATTCTTTCACCGAAATCCTTAGAGCACTGGCAGAATTTCCAATCCAATTACTGCTATATTAATGAAATCCGGATTCCCAGATGGGTAGACTATATTCCTAACGCTGAAATCCAAATCCATCGGTTTTGCGATGCTTCCGAAAAAGCATATGCAGCCGCGTTATACATCCGAATAGCTGACGGTAAAAAGATATCCAGTCACTTAATTGCTTCCAAAACAAAAGTAGCTCCTGTAAAAACTTTGTCTATTCCACGACTAGAGCTTTGTGGTGCTGTATTATTGGCGGATATGATTGATAATTTTCTTCCTCAATTTGATATCAGTCATTATTTCTTGTTCTGTTGGACTGATTCCACAATTGTCCTTTCATGGTTAGCCAAACCTCCATGTTCTTGGCTGACTTTTGTTGCAAATAGGGTTTCCAGAATAACGCAAATTACTGATCCAAAACTGTGGAATCATGTCAACTCAGAGTCCAATCCTGCAGATTTAGCTAGTCGTGGAGTTTATCCAAAAGTCTTTGGTGGTTTGGTCCTGATTGGTTAAGAGAATCCAGAGCAAATTGGCCAATTTCTGATAAGGCAAATATACCTGATACAGGAATTGAAAAGAAGAATGTGAAAGTGCACTTTTCATATTTCCAACATTATGAGGATATTTTGGAAAGATTTTCCTCGTTTCCTAGGGCACTTCGTGTTGTATCTTACATTTTCCGATTTCTTTTCCGCACTCACCCAAGATTGCGTTCTAATTTTCATAAAAGTTCACTTGCCTTATCTAGTTCAGAGATCATTTTTGCTCGCGATAGACTTATAACCAATTGCCAGAAAGTTGGCTATCCTGCCGAATATCGAGCTTTATCTTCCAGACATGTTATATCCTCGTCCAGTTCCATTTTGAATCTTAATCCATTCCTAGATTCCGAAGGACTTATCCGATCGTGCGGAAGACTCGAGAATTCTCCGGGTCTTTCGTACAATGAGAAACATCCTGTCATTATTCCTTATAATTGCCAATATTCACGGCTTTTAGTCAAATTTGTCCACGATATTAGTCTTCATGGTGGTAATCAGCTTGTCCTACGCTTGATAAGAACTCATTACTGGATTCCAAAAGTAAAAAATCTTATCAAAACCACCATTCGAAAATGCAAACCATGTATTATCTACCGGAAAAGATGTCAGCAACAGATGATGGCTGCCTTGCCATCTGAGCGATCTGAAATTTCGCCTCCATTTACTCATACGGGACTAGATTTTGCAGGTCCATTTGATATCAAATCTTATTCTGGTAGAGGTTTTCGTATGACTAAAGGCTATGTATGTGTGTTTGTATGCTTTTCGACGAAGGCTATTCACTTGGAAGCTACAACAGATTTGTCCACATCTGCATTCCTTGCCGCTTTTCACAGGTTTATTTCTCGTCGTGGTTGTCCACTCCATCTACATTCCGATAATGGAGCTACATTCGTAGGAGCGTCAAAGATTATCCAAAGAGAATTCATGCTATCGTCTCGCGAATTGCTCACTTCTAGCTACGCTCACCAGAACCTGACCTGGCATTTTATTCCGCCGGGTGCTCCGCATATGGGTGGCCTTTGGGAGGCAGGAGTCAAGAGCTTCAAATCACATTTCCGTAAAACCGTAGGTTGTTTTAAATACACGTTTGAAGAATTTTCCACTCTTCTCGCTCGAATTGAAGCCTGTCTCAACTCTCGGCCTATTTCTCCACAATCGCAAGATCCATCAGATCTTTCCGCCTTAACTCCAGGTCATTTCCTCATAGGTTCTCCTATCTTTTGTCCTATTGATCCTAAGATTAACGAAAGTCCGATATCCATTGTTAATCGTTGGCAACGTCTGAAATTAGTCCATCAAAATTTCTGCTTTCGTTGGAAAAACGAATATTTGAAGGAGATGCAGAAACGAACTAAATGGAAGACTTCCGAAGATAATGTCAAACCCGGGACATTAGTTGTCATAAAGGATGAAAATCTCCCTTCAAACTCTTGGCGGCTAGGTAGAATTGAAAAAGTGCATACCGGATCCGATAAGAAAGTTCGAGTTGCCGACATATATACGCAACGTGGTCTAATAACAAGGCCAATCCATAAATTAGTTTGCTTATTCGAATCCTAGTCATCCACTTCCTCTCTACATTCTCTAAGATCTTCCAACCAACTTTATTCCTTTCAGAGCATCATGCCTAAACGCCAAACCAAAAACTCCAAAAGCTCCAATAATCGTCGCCGTCGCCAACAGCACATCAAGCTGCCTAGCAATTACAACCGGTTCCTATGCCGTTTATGTGTACGTCCGCATCCGTTACGCGTCTGTCGCAAGTTCCTCGCGGTGAACATGAAGGAACGTCTGGACGCCGTAAAAACGCATAAATATTGTCAGAACTGTTTAGCTCATGACCACTCCAAAGGAACATGCATTTCGAAACGCGGTTGTCGTCATTGCAGCAAATTCCACCACACCCTTCTCCATATCAACCCCCGGCTTTTGAAAGATTTCGGCATAAGTCCAACCCGCTCCAACTCTCGATCTCGTTCTCCGTCGCCTAGACCCTCGACTTCGCAAGCTGCTCGAAAAAAATTAGCTGCTCCAACGACTTCGGCAACTACATTAACGTCGCTCCTACGACAGAATAGCGTAATTCTATTGCCGACGGTTTTAGTGAAGATTGGCTCCACGAATACCCATGCGCGCTGTCTCCTGGATTCTGGCTCTACTGTCAGTCGCATCTCAAAGAGAATTGTCAAAACATTGCGACTAACAACTTTGACAATGGAGAATGAAACCGTATGTCCTGCAACACTCAAATCCAAATTCGATTCTGAGTCCAAGATCGAGGGCATTTTCCGGGTTGACAATCGGATTTCTAGTAAAACTCCCATAAACTCATTGCCAGTGAATTTTAAGCAACATTTCCGAGATTTGTTCTTAGCGGACCCTAAATTCTTCGAATCCGCTGGAATTGACGTCATCATCGGCGTTGATTTGTATCCGAAGGTGATGAGAGAGGGTGTTTTTACCAAAACAGGGTTGCCAACGGCGCAAAGTACCATCTTTGGATGGACCATTTACGGCGCGTGTCTCACATGAACAATATACCACATGCACTTGTATATTCGATAAAGCAAAATAAAACCAAAACAAACGAACACAAATATTTTATTAATTGAATTTTCCAATAAAATATATTCATTGAATTCCATATATCCATATATTTCCATTTATTTCCTTTTGCAACAAATATTGTTATTTATTCTTTTCCTTTCTATAGCACAGATGTCCAAAGGAATCAACTTACTAATATTAACATTAAGATTTCCTAACCTCACAACTATATTTTGTAATTCCTTCTAGCAGAAATAAGTATTTTACGACAATCCTTATTCCTTTTTTCCATAGTTTGTATACTGCAAGGCGGGCGGTAATGTTTATGCCAAACAACAATTGTCCATTTATTCATAATCTCCCCGCAAATTCCTATTTCTTATGACATATATCGATACTGAATGCTATGAATTGCAGCATATGTAAAGTTGTCATAAAGTTCTAAATAAAACGTCAATTATTTCAAATATGTCATAAAATCTTATTTCCTCCAGAAAGAAACTTTCTTTTGTGCAAATTCGTCCACTTTCCTATCCTTGGTAAGAAATTCCTTATTCCTTAAATAATTTAATAAATATCCAAAGAAAAGAAAACATAATTCCTGTGTTTTATTTTCTTTCTTTTTTTTCATTCCTTGCTTATTAAATTATTCTGAGTTACAAAATATATTCATATATTTTGTTTTGGCTCAGAGAGAATAATAAAGTTTTCCAATCATCCAGCCTTTCATCCCCATCCAAAGCTTTGAGCGAAACAGATAGATCGGTATATTTATTGGTACAGGTTTAAAAATGCGGTAATTCAAGGCTCCGATATGGTTGCAAATAACTTTTATAGTTTTCATGTTATAACAGTCGTTTATATATCTTTTTATTGCATTATAGTTGCCATTTGTTTTGGTATATAATTTATTGCATAATATATTTTTAGAAAATTGCCAATTGGATAGATCGGTAGAATTATTTTCACAGCTTTAAAAAGGCGGTAATTTGAGGTTCCGATATGGTTGCAAATAACATTGACAGTTTTCATGCTATGACAGTCATTTATGCATCATTTTAAAGCATTATGATTGCACTTTAATATGGTATATAATTTGTAGCATAATGTGTGTTTTTACAAATTGGTCAATTTGATAGATCGGTAGAATTATTGTTCTATGTTTAATAAAAGCAGTAATCTGAGGTTCCGATATGGTTGCAATTAACTTTGGCAGTTTTCGTGCTAGGACAGTCGTTTATGCACCATTTTAAAGCATTAAAATTGCCATTTGTTTTGGTATATAATTTATTGCATAATGTATTTTAAGAAAATGGCCAATTGGATAGATCGGTAGAATTATTTTCCCAGGTTTAAAAAGGCGGTAATTTGAGGTTCCGATATGGTTGTGAATAACTTTGACAGTTTTCATGCTATGACAGTAATTTATGCATAAGTTTAGAGCATTATGATTGCATTTTAATTTGGTATATCATTTGTGGCACAATGTGTTCGTCTAAAAAATGGTCAATTTGATGGATCGGTAGAATTATTGTTCTATGTTTAAAAACGCGGTAATTTGAGGTTCCGATATGGTTGCAAATAACTTTGACAGTTTTCATGCTAGGGCAATAGTTTATGCATCATTTTAAAGCATTACAGTTGCACTTTATTTTGGTGTATAATTTGTGGCATAATGAATTTTTACAAAAGTTGGATAGATCGGTATATTTATTGGTACAGGTTTAAAAATGCGGTAATTCAAGGCTCCGATATGGTTGCAAATAACTTTTATAGTTTTCATGTTATAACAGTCGTTTATATATCTTTTTATTGCATTATAGTTGCCATTTGTTTTGGTATATAATTTATTGCATAATATATTTTTAGAAAATTGCCAATTGGATAGATCGGTAGAATTATTTTCACAGCTTTAAAAAGGCGGTAATTTGAGGTTCCGATATGGTTGCAAATAACATTGACAGTTTTCATGCCATGACAATCATTTATGCTTCATTTTAAAGCATTATGATTGCACTTTAATATGGTATATAATTTGTAGCATAATGTGTGTTTTTACTAATTGGTGAATTTGATAGATCGGTAGAATTATTGTTCTATGTTTAATAAACGCGGTAATCTGAGGTTACGATATGCCTGCAATCAACTTTGGCAGTTTTCGTGCTAGGACAGTCGTTTATGCACCATTTTAAAGCATTAAAATTGCCATTTGGTTTGGTATATAATTTATTGCATAATGTATTTTTAGAAAACGGCCAATTGGATAAATCGGTAGAATTATTTTCCCAGGTTTAAAAACGCGGTAATTTGAGGTTCCGACATGGTTGTGAATAACTTTGACAGTTTTCATGCTATGACAGTCATTTATGCATCATTTTAAAGCATTACAGTTTCACTTTGTTTTTGTGTATAATTTGTGGCATAATGAATTTTTACAAAAAGTGGATAGATCAGTATATTTATTGGTACAGGTTTAAAAATGCGGTAATTTAAGGCCCCGATATGGTTGCAAATAACTTTTATAGTTTTCATGTTATAACAGTCGTTTATACATCTTTTTATTGCATTTTAGTTGCCATTTGTTTTGGTATATAATTTATTGCATAATGTATTTTTAGAAGATGGCCAATTGGATAGATCGATAGAATTATTTTCCCAGGTTTAAAAAGGCGGTAATTTGAGGTTCCGATATGGTTGTGAATTACTTTGACAGTTTTCATGCTATGACAGTCATTTATGCATCAGTTTAGAGCATTATGATTGCACTTTAATTTGGTATATCATTTGTGGCATAATGTGTTCGTCTAAAAAATGGTCAATTTGATGGATCGGTAGAATTATTGTTCTATGTTTAAAAACGCGGTAATTTGAGGTTCCGATATGGTTGCAAATAACTTTGACAGTTTTCATGCTAGGGCAATAGTTTATGCATCATTTTAAAGCATTACAGTTGCACTTTATTTTGGTGTATAATTTGTGGCATAATGAATTTTTACAAAAGTTGGATAGATCGGTATATTTATTGGTACAGGTTTAAAAATGCGGTAATTCAAGGCTCCGATATGGTTGCAAATAACTTTTATAGTTTTCATGTTATAACAGTCGTTTATATATCTTTTTATTGCATTATAGTTGCCATTTGTTTTGGTATATAATTTATTGCATAATATATTTTTAGAAAATTGCCAATTGGGTAGATCGGTAGAATTATTTTCCCAGGTTTAAAAAGGCGGTAATTTGAGGTTCCGATATGGTTGCAAATAACATTGACAGTTTTCATGCTATGACAGTCATTTATGCTTCATTTTAAAGCATTATGATTGCACTTTAATATGGTATATAATTTGTAGCATAATGTGTGTTTTTACTAATTGGTGAATTTGATAGATCGGTAGAATTATTGTTCTATGTTTAATAAACGCGGTAATCTGAGGTTCCGATATGGCTGCAATTAACTTTGACAGTTTTCGTGCTAGGACAGTCGTTTATGCACCATTTTAAAGCATTAAAATTGCCATTTGATTTGGTATATAATTTATTGCATAATGTATTTTTAGAAAACGGCCAATTGGATAAATCGGTAGAATTATTTTCCCAGGTTTAAAAACGCGGTAATTTGATGTTCCGATATGGTTGTGAATAACTTTGACAGTTTTCATGCTATGCATCATGCTATGCATCATTTTAAAGCATTACAGTTGCATTTTGTTTTTGTGTATAATTTGTGGCATAATGAATTTTTACAAAAATTGGATAGATCGGTTTATTTATTGGTACAGGTTTAAAAATGCGGTAATTTAAATCCCCGATATGGTTGCAAATAACTTTTATAGTTTTCATGTTATAACAGTCGTTTATACATCTTTTTATTGCATTTTAGTTGCCATTTGTTTTGGTATATAATTTATTGCATAATGTATTTTTAGAAGAAGGCCAATTGGATAGATCGATAGAATTATTTTCTCAGGTTTAAAAAGGCGATAATTTGAGGCTCCGATATGGTTGTGAATTACTTTGACAGTTTTCATGCTATGACGGTCATTTATGCATCAGTTTAGAGCATTATGATTGCACTTTAATTTGGTATATCATTTGTGGCATAATGTGTTCGTCTAAAAAATGGTCAATTTAATGGATCGGTAGAATTATTGTTCTATATTTAAAAACGCGGTAATTTGAGGTTCCGATATGGTTGCAAATAACTTTGACAGTTTTCATGTTATGGCATTAGTTTACACATCATTTTAAAGAATTACAGTTGCACTTTATTTTGGTGTATAATTTGTGGCATAATGAATTTTTACAAAAATTGGATAGATCGGTATATTTATTGGTACAGGTTCAAAAATGCGGTAATTTAAGGCTCCGATATGGTTGCAAATAACTTTTATAGTTTTCATGTTATAACAGTCGTTTATATATCTTTTTATTGCATTATAGTTGCCATTTGCTTTGGTATATAATTTATTCCATAACATATTTTTGGAAAATGGCCTATTGGATAGATCGGTAGAATTATTTTCACAGCTTTAAAAACGCGGTAGTTTGAGGTTCCGATATGGCTGCAAATAACATTGACAGTTTTCACGCTATGACAGTCATTTATGCATCATTTTAAAGCATTATGATTGCACTTTAATATGGTATATCATTTGTAGCATAATGTGTATTTTTACAAATTGGTCAATTTGATAGATCGGTAGAATTATTGTTCTATGTTTAATAAACGCAGTAATCTGAGGTTCCGATATGGTTGCAATTAACTTTGGCAGTTTTCGTGCTAGGACAGTCGTTTATGCACCATTTTAAAGCATTAAAATTGCCATTTGTTTTGGTATATAATTTATTGCATAATGTATTTTTAGAAAATGGCCAATTGGATAGATCAGTAGAATTATTTTCCCAGGTTTAAAGAGGCGGTAATTTGAGGTTCCGATATGGTTGTGAATAACTTTGACAGTTTTCATGCTATGACAGTCATTTATGCATCAGTTGAGAGCATTATGATTGCACTTTAATTTGGTATATCATTTGTGGCATAATGTGTTCGTCTAAAAAATGGTCAATTTGATGGATCGGTAGAATTATTGTTCTATGTTTAAAAACGCGGTAATTTGAGGTTCCGATATGGTTGCAAATAACTTTGACAGTTTTCATGCTAGGGCAATAGTTTATGCATCATTTTAAAGCATTACAGTTGCACTCTATTTTGGTGTATAATTTGTGGGATAATGAATTTTTACAAAAGTTGGATAGATCGGTATATTTATTGGTACAGGTTTAAAAATGCGGTAATTCAAGGCTCCGATATGGTTGCAAATAACTTTTATAGTTTTCATGTTATAACAGTCGTTTATATATCTTTTTATTGCATTATAGTTGCCATTTGTTTTGGTATATAATTTATTGC